ATGTCCCAATGGAGCAAAGACTCCCTATGGCTGCATTTTACATGAAGGGTGAAGCCCTAGGATGGTACAAATGGATGTTTCAAAGCCACCAACTAACAGATTGGCCCACATTTGCAAGAGCCTTAGAGCTGCGTTTTGGCCCATCTACCTACGAAAATCACCAAGCACAACTTTTCAAATTGCGGCAACAAGGATCTGTGACAGATTACCAAGCAAGTTTTGAAAAAATAGCTAACCAGGTCCTTGGCCTACCACCTGAGGCAATGCTGAATTGTTTTATTTCAGGATTAATTCCAGATATCCGTAACGAGATTGCCATCCATCAACCGTATTCTCTATCTCAGGTAGTGGGTTTAGCCAAATTAATTGAATCTAAAATAAAGGATTCTAAACCAAAATTTTCTAGACCTAACAACAATTATCAATTTTCCGCTGCTGGCACAAACGGTACTTCTCCAAAATTCCCGTCCACTACAGCAATTACCACCCTTACCCCAACCAATCACCCCAACCCAAATTCCACACACTGTTTTCCCATTCGCAGAATCACCGCGGCTCAACGCGAAGAACGCAGAGCCAAAGGCCTTTGTTTCAACTGTGATGAAAAATTTATTCCAGGGCACCGTTGCACTGCAGGAAATTTTTTACTACTTATGGATGATGAAGAAGTCACTACTATTTCTACTATATCAGTCGAGTCAACTGATACAATAGAAGAAATTCCAGCTGCGGAAGACACTTATTTTCAGCTTTCACCCCAAGCGGTGAGTGGGCAATTTTCCCCTAAAACTCTGAAATTTAAAGGCATTTTGGATGGTTTACAAGTCACTATCCTAATTGACACCGGCAGTACTCACAACATCCTTCAGCCCCGAATAGCCCAACATCTTAAAACACCCACTAAACCGATCCCAAATTTCTCTGTTATGGTTGGTAACGGGTCACAACTGAGTTGCAGTGGTTTATGCCCTCAAGTCCCAATCCACTTACAAAACCATTTGTTTTACATCCCACTCTACTTGTTGCCAATTGAAGGGGCCGACGTGGTTTTAGGGATGGAATGGCTGCGAACTTTGGGCCCTATCCTTGCGGATTTCTCAATTCCTAAACTTTCTTTTACCCATAACAATAAGGATATCACTCTCACGGGTGAGCCCACCATATGTCCCACCCAATCCACTTTTCACCAGTTCTTCCACCTCCTTCATACTGACTCAATAGCCTCCATTCACCTCTTAATATACCAACATTCGCAGGAAGTTCAAACCGAACTGACTGTTGAAATCCTCAAGGCAATCAAAAATATTTCCCCGACACTACAACCAGAAATTACAACCATCCTGTACTCCCATGCCTTAATTTTTCAACCACCCAAAGGTTTACCACCATACAGACCACATGACCACCGCATTCCCCTTGAGCCAAATTCCAAACCAGTTAATGTTAAACCCTATCGCTACCCCCATTCCCAAAAAGAGGCCATGACTACCATCATAAATGACATGCTTAAACAGGGCATTATTAAACCCAGCAACAACCCCTATTCCTCCCCTGTGTTACTGGTGCGAAAAAAAGACGGTACTTGGAGATTTTGTGTAGACTATCACGCACTCAATGCGCTAACTATTCGTGACCGTTTTCCCATCCCAACCATTGATGAGCTATTTGATGAGTTAGGAACTGCATCTTTGTTTACAAAGATTGACCTGCGGTCAGGCTATCACCAAATCAGAGTCTCACCTGAAGACACTCATAAAACAACATTCAGAACCTTTGACGGGCACTACGAGTTTTTAGTTATGCCTTTTGGATTAACTAATGCTCCTAGTTCTTTTCAAGCGGCGATGAATGACCTGTTGCGACCTTTCCTAAGACGGTTTGTGCTTGTTTTTTTTATGATATTCTCATTTACAGTTCTTGTTTAACTGATCATGTGCATCACTTAAAGTTGGTTTTAGAATTACTTTCTACTAATCAATTTTTTGCTAAATTATCAAAATGTGTTTTTGCTGTCAAAAGTGTTGCTTATTTAGGTCATGTTATATCTGCTAAAGGTGTAACCCCAGATCCATCAAAGATTCAAGATGTTTTGGATTGGCCAAAACCACGATCACTCACGACACTCAGGGGTTTTTTAGGCCTCACCGGCTTTTATCGACGTTTTGTCCGTCATTACGCCTCACACGCCGCTCCGCTCACCGATTTATTATGTTTCACTAAATTTACATGGAGTACAACAGCAGATACAACATTTACAATTTTAAAACAGAAAATGACAGAAACTCCAGTTCTTGCTCTTCCGGATTTCACAAAGACCTTCACTTTAGAAACAGATGCCTCAGCCGTTGCAATCGGCGCTGTCCTTTCTCAGGATGGTCACCCGTTGGCCTTCTTCAGCAAAAAAATGTGCAATCGTCTACAAGCTTCATCCGTTTACGTCCGAGAAATGTATGCAATTACAGAATCTGTAAAAAAATGGCGTCAGTACTTAATAGGGAGACACTTTTATATCTTTATAGATCAAAAAAGCTTGAAGAACCTTTTGGTACAAACAATCCAGACACCAGAGCAACAAAAATGGGCAGCTAAACTACAGGGGTTCAGTTTCGAGATTTTCTACAAACCTGGGAAAAATAATCAGGTAGCGGACGCCCTTAGTCGCCGACACACAGAAGAAGAGCCGGCCTTGTTGACGTTTTCGTCCCCAGTCCCCACCATCGTTCAACAACTACAAGATTACTACCAAAAAAACAAAGAGGGTCAAGATTTCCTCAATAAATACATGTCAGATCCAAGTATGCAAGTGTTATTCAATTTCAAAAATGACCTGATGTTTTATAAGGAGAAATTATACGTTCCTCCACGCCCAGAGTTTCGCCAGCAACTTCTTCAGGAATTTCACTCTTCAGTTACCGGGGGACATTCAGGTATTCAACTGACCCTTGCTCGAATATCCGCTTCTTTCAACTGGCCAGGCTTGCACACAGACATCAAAACCATGATTCAAAATTGCTCCATCTGCCAACGTAACAAGTACCTACCAACCAAAAAACAAGGTTTGTTACAACCATTAGACATTCCACAGCAAGTATGGGAGGATTTGACTATGGATTTCATAACTCACCTACCATCTTCGTTTGGCCACACAGTAATATGGGTCATATGTGACTGTTTAAGCAAGTTCGTTCACTTCCTTGCTTTGCCTACCCACTTCACCGCTCCGGACCTTGCTCGGCGGTTCATCGCTGACATCTGCCGTCTCCACGGTGTCCCAAAATCCATTGTGTCGGATCGCGATCCTTTATTCATGAGTGCTTTTTGGAAGGAACTCTTTCGGCTACAGGGCACGACCTTGAAACATAGCACAACTTATCACCCAGAGACAGACGGTCAAACAGAGGTGGTTAATCGAAGTTTAGAAACTTACCTTTGTTGTTTCACAGCGGATCAACCCAAAAGGTGGTTTAAGTTTCTGCACCTTGCGGAATACTGGTATAACACGTCGCATCACTCAGCCATCGGCATGACTCCCTTCGAAGCCATCTACGGAAGAACCCCCCAACAATTCTTGACTACGTCCAGGGCTCATCCACAAATGTTTCCATTGACAACCTGTTAACCCAGAAACAAGAAATCATTCAGACTTTGAAAGCAAACTTGAAACGCAGCAAACAAATAATGGCAGATCAAGCTAACAAGAAATGTGTAGACTGTACCTTCGAGGTCGGAGACCTCGTGTTGCTCCGCCTACAACCGTATCGCCAAGGTTCGCTCCAACGACGCTCGTCACAGAAACTCGCGTCTCGCTACTTTGGGCCCTTCCCTGTCTCACGTCGCGTCGGATCCGTGGCGTATGAACTAGAACTCCCACCATCTTCAAAGATCCATAACGTATTTCACGTATCCCAACTCCGCCGCTACCGTGGCTCCGATGTTGCGGCTGATTTCATACATCTTCCACCTGAACAACACATGGACACACGAAACACAACGGTTAGAACTCTGACAGGAAAAAAACTAATGAATAACAAAGAAGAAATCCCTACCTTTGAAGACCCTCATGCAGTTTCTGAATCCACGAACCAAGATACGAGTCTCAGAACAAACGATGCCGAGGAAGTATACGCGGAAGGGAAGCCAAAGAACTCTGCACAAACGAAGAACAAATTGAGAGCTCCTAATGGTGATGACATTTTAACACCTCCAGGACAAGTACAACCCCAACACGTTAGTATTTCTATGTCAAAAGAAGGTTTAAGTGGTTTTGATGAGATTTCCAAAACACCGCTTGCGCTGCCCAAGAATGCATTTTCCGAAGTACACATGCAACCATTGGATGCTCAACGGACAGATCGTTTTCGTTCTCCCTCTGCCACGCGTCCTACCAGCTGTATCCTACTTTCCCCACTTTTGGACTGCCCAAGGATTTCTGGGACCCACAAATCTTTTCCCTCGGCAGCAGCACGTGAGGATGTTTTACCTACAGGTTTCCTCAAATCTCCAACTCCATCCATCTCTCTTGGGCCACGAAAATCTAATGGGCCACCCAACACAGCACCACATGTCAACAAACAAAACACTAACCTTGAGGACAAGGTTGTTTTTGGGCCAGATAGTATTGATGCAAGGCCCAAGCGGAAGTTGACCCAACCAGTATGGATGAATGATAATATACTTTATTAGTTAGTATTTGTTATTTTGTTAAAAAGGGTTTAAGCCCACTTGTCTTAGATTCTGAATATCCGGCCCATTAAGTATTACCTTTGTAAGAAAAACCCTAGTATTTATGTTGTGGTTTTAGAGAATGAAAGGAGGAAATTTTATCTCTAAATTTATTGTCTTAGGTTTTAATGTTTCTCTCTTGTCCAATGGTGTTTGCTCTTATTGGATGATAGCTGCAGATTCTTAACTCTATCATCATCAGTGATCCTTCTGTTTGGTTAGTAGTGACAAAAAATCATTAAAACTAGCATGCACATTTACATGTTCTCTCTTTCTCAATGGTAACCGAGTCTTGCATTCGTCTTCTATATACCTGCAGAAACGTTTTTCATATCAGACAAGTTCACGCCAATGTCTTAATCAATGGAACATTCAATGATCTCATTCTTGCAAACAAGCTTCTTTACTTCTATGTCCAACATAAAGCCATTAGTGATGCACATCATCTGTTTGATGAAATGACAACGAGAGACCCAACAACTTGGAGTGTAATGGTTGGTGGATTTGCCAAGCTTGGTGACTATTCCAATTGCTATACAACCTTTAGGGAGATTCTCAGAAGTGGCGTTACACCTGATAACTACAGTTTGCCTTTTGTGATAAGAACTTGTAGAGACAGAAAGGACTTCCAAATGGGTCAAATGATTCATGGTGTTGTGTTGAAACATGGGTTGCAATTGGATCATTTTGTTTGTGCTACACTTGTGGATATGTATGCTAAGTGTATGGTGATTGAGGATGCTCGGAAGTTGTTTGATGTAATGCTTAGTAAGGATCTTGTGAGTTGGACGGTTATGATCGGTGCTTATGCGGATTGTGATGCTTATGAGTCGTTGGTTTTGTTTGATCGGATGAGGGAAGAAGGTTTTGTTCCTGATAAGATTGCTATGGTGACTGTTGTTAACGCGTGTGCGAAATTGGGAGCTATGCATAGGGCTAGGTTTGTTAATGAGTATATTTGTACGAATGGTTTGTCTTTGGATGTGATATTAGGGACTGCAATGATTGATATGTATGCCAAGTGTGGATGTGTTGAGTCTGCAAGAGAGGTTTTCGATAGGATGAAAGAGAAAAACGTGATTTCGTGGAGTGCCATGATCGCTGCTTATGGATATCATGGGAAGGGGAAGGAAGCTCTTGACTTATTTCATATGATGTTGAGCTGTGGAATTTTGCCGAATAGGATCACCTTTGTCTCTGTCCTATATGCTTGTAGTCATGCCGGATTGACTGAAGAGGGTATTCGCTTCTTTGATTCAATGTGGGAAGATTACGCAGTTAGACCTGATGTCAAACATTATACTTGTCTGGTCGATCTTCTTGGACGTGCAGGGAGGCTAGACGAGGCAGTAAAATTGATCGAGAAAATGACTGTTGAAAAAGATGAGAGACTGTGGAGTGCTTTGCTTGGTGCATGTAGAATTCACGGGAACATGGAGTTGGCAGAAAAAGCAGCTAATTCTCTACTCGAACTACAGCCCCAAAATCCAGGGCACTATGTATTACTGTCTAATATTTACGCAAAAGCTGGTAAATTTGAGAAAGTGGCAGAATTTAGAGATATGATGACACAGAAGAAGCTGAAAAAAGTTCCTGGATGGACATGGATTGAAGTGGATAACAAAACCTATCAGTTTGGCGTCGGGGATAGATCTCATCCTCAATCAAATGATATCTATGAAATGTTGATGAGTGTAATTAAGAAGTTGGAGATTGCCGGTTATGTGCCTGATACAGAATTTGTGTTGCAAGATGTTGAGGAGGAAGTTAAGAAAGAAATGTTGTATACACATAGCGAAAAGCTTGCTATTTCATTTGGTTTAATTGCCATCCCGAAAGACGATCCCATTAGGATCTCTAAAAACCTTAGAGTCTGCGGTGATTGTCACACATTTTGTAAGATGGTATCAGACATCATGAGAAGGTCCATAATTGTTCGGGACGCCAATCGGTTTCACCATTTTAATGAAGGGGCTTGCTCATGTGGAGACTATTGGTAGCATATTTGACAATCTACAGGTCAATTTTCTGTGTCTAACTAAAACATAACTTGCAATTTTAATGTACCAAAAAATGTATCAAAGTTTTACAATATTTGATGGATAGAATGAAGAACAGAAAAAATTCTTGGCTCCTGCTAACTAATTATATTTAGATATTAATGAACTCAAATTATGCTATTTTCAACTTGGTTTGTCTGTGTATATCTATAAAGCTTCTAATAGATTTCTGAATTCCATGCTTTCCTCCTCACTTTTGCTTGCTCTCAATTGCTTCCTGTTCTTCAACTCAATACTGGATAATTTAAATTTAAATATAGTTAAACTGTATAATTCATGGAATATATGTCATGTTTAATGAGAGAAAACCATGAAGTTGGAACCAATGATATTTGTGAATTTCCACCTCTCTGTTGAATGGGAGAGCTCAAGACTCTATTCCCTTGACTGGTTTGGTGATGATCCTAGTCCTAGAATTAAAGCCTGCTGAGAGTTGAATTTCTTTTCATTTTGAGATGACGTGGTATGCGATAAAAGTAAATAAAAAAAACAATTGAACCTAAATATTCCTACAATCATGTCCAACCAACATAGATGAATGAGATTCACTCTTAAATAAAATTGTGATCCTTTTAAATATTTTCTATTTTATTTTTAATTATTTAAAAATTTATTTTTAAAGAATAATTATTCTAAAATTTTTCATTCACATTTTTTATCTTTCCTACCGCTTAACAATGTTCATATAATTTAACGACGATTTTAACGACAATTTACTACTTAACGATTGAATTAACGATGATTTTAGCAGAAAAAATCAAAAGTGAAGATAAATTTTTAGGAGGATCATTCTTTAAAAAAAATTATTTAAAAAATTAAAAGTGAAACATGAAATATTTACTAGGACGACTATTTAATCTTATAATCAATAACATTAACAAAATGTTTAATTTATTTTTAACATTCTTCTAAATTTATTTTTGTATTATTATCTCAATTCTTAAATTATCATAATTAGATTAAGAGCCGTACGATGTGCGGTTGTTAATTTATTTATTTACTTATTTATTAAATTTTAAATATGTTAAAAGTTTATTTTGACAAAAAATAATGACTAATTTATTTCACAATTCTTTGTTGTACATGGTATGATGGAAAAAAAATTCTTGTACCACTTAATTTTTTAAAATAGAAAGAAAAATTATTTTTATATACTTTTAGATAAAAAATAAAATTGATATCACAACGGTTGTTTAATATAACCGTCGTGATATATATATATATATATATATATATATATATATATATATATATATATATATATATATATATATATATATATATATATATATATATATATATATATATATATATATATATATATATATATATATATATATATATATATATATATATATATATATATATATATATATATATATATATATATATATATATATATATATATTTCAATTTCTTTTTCTATTTTAAATGCTTAAGATCTGACGCTTTTTTATAAAATTAAATTAACGTAAATCATATATCACCATTGTTATTTAATACAACCGTTGTGATATATATATATTTTTTTTTTATTTTAAATTTTTAAATGTTTAAAACCTGACGTTTTTTTTATAAAATTTCATTAAGTAAACCATATATCACCACAGTTGGTTTAGACGACCATGGTGGAATGATTTATTCACTTAAAAGAAACATAACTAGCTAGCTTGTTAACTCAGTTGCATTTTTTCATTTCCATTAGCGAAACAACGCCATTTTCAACCACGAAGAAACAACATCATTTTCATGCCTGACGAAACAACGTCATTTAAACCCTAACGAAATAACACCATTTTCAATCCTAACGAAACAACACCATTTTCAACCAACTTCATCGTTCTTTGCTTACGTATCACCAAGGAGGAAACCGACATCAACTTCATCGTTCTTAGCTTAACAACCATCGAGGAGGAAGACAAAGATTCTGACAACATACTTTAATTTATTTATTCTCCACATTTCCGGAATGTAAACGTTTTTCCTCATGCATCTACAGTAAACTTCATTTTCCATTGTGTATATGTTTATATTGTTGGTGTTAAAATAATATGGCGTTGTTTATGTAGTTGTTGATGTTGTTGTTTATGAATTGTTGGTGTTGTTTCTATTCTACTAAGTTTGATGATATGGAGTTCTATTGTGTTTATGTTTATGTTGTCGATGGTGAAATAGTATATTGTTGTTAATGTAGTTGTTGATGTTGTTGTTTATGAGTTGTAGATCTTATTTTATGTTAGAGAGAGCCTAAGCCCAATTTTGAGCTTTTGTGTGAGATATAATTATCTTAACAAGAAGGTTTAAAAAAAGTTTGTGAAGTCTCGTAGTTCTGAAGAGTTCCTAGTAAGTATTAATTATATTTTCTGATAGTTTTAGGCTTATACTTTATAGATACAACCATGCAAGATAATATTTTTTCTATGCTTAAAGCATGTTAAAAGTGAATCAGGAAAGCATAACAAGGCAAAAAACAAATACCCTCATATATTGTCTCTTGGGGATACAGGAAACTTGAGAAAATAATGATTGCTAGAAAAAAGATAACAATTAAAAGATGATGACTCTATGAGTCATGATCACATCTCATCTCTACTGTTAAGAAATGTGGTTGAGCTTAACTCAACCCTACAAAATCGGTTGGTAGAGTGAGGATTACCTCCACTTATAAACACATGTTCATGCCATATATTGTCCGATGTGGGACTCTTAACACACCACCTCACGCCCAGGACTGGACTTCTGGAGTGTGAAAATAAATGGTGGATGACCCGATAGCGGAAACCATAGAAGGTGACCCACCAGATCTTAAACGAGGCTCTAATACCATGTTAAGAAATGTGGGCGGGCTTAACTCAACCCTATAAAACCGGTTGGTAGAGTGAGGATTACTCTCACTTATAAACACATGTTCATGTCATGTATTGTCCGATGCAGGACTCTTAAGATCTACCATCACGAAATGAAAAGTGGAAGAGGAGTTGACAAAGGAAAAATGGAGACTACACTTCAAATGCCTCAAGATTAGTCATTAAGAAAATTGTAATACTATGCCAAAAAAGACCTTTAGCAGCGCTTTAAAGCGCTGCCAAAAGTGGCGCTGCTAAAGGTAAAGGCAGCGCTTTTTTTCAATGAAAAAGCGCTACTAAAGGCTCCCTTCAGCAGCACCTTTAGCAGCGCTTTTTTAGCCCTTTAGCAGCGCTTTTGTAAGCGCTGCATAATTCCCCCAACCATCCCCCCCTTTAGCAGCGCTTTTACAAAGCGTTGTCTTAGACCCCACCTATAGCAGCGCTTTTACAAAGCGGTACCATAGCCCACCCTTTAGCAGCGCTTTTTACAAGCGCTGTCTTAGACCCCCCCCCCCCCCCTTCCAAACCTATAGCAGCGCTTTTGTAGCGTAATTTTTGTGACCTTTAGCAGCGCTTTTTTGTAAAAGCGCCGTCTAATGTCCCAGATTTTAAATTTTTTTTTTAAAAAAATATTCACCCTGTTTTGTATATTTACCAACAACCTGCTTATATTACACAAACATGCTTATAATTCAGGCCTTTATTTCAACACTTTGGCCTTATATATACAATTCAAACTTTGGCCTTAAATATACAATTCAAACTTTGGCCTTATATATACAACTCAAAACTTTGGATACATTGTAACTCATCACTTTGTTCATAAACATTTTAATATACACATAAACCTGTTTAAATATGTTACAACAAAATTCGATCCTCAGAATTACAACAACACAAATACATTCAATTTACATATAATTACAAGTCTTCCAATCCGATAACTCTATACAATTCTCAACCTAAGAATAAATTGACACCATTCCTCTTTAATTTCTTCCAATTTTGCTTTCGTGTAAGTAGCGCACTTGAATTCATCAAAATACTACATAATATAACAGATCGAATAAGATTTAATTTTAAAACTAATTACTGAGATGAAGTATCAGATAATTATCAAAATGAATCATATAACTTATATAATGAATTGATCCATACCATGACTGGAATCTCAAGTTGACCAGAAAGAATAATTTCCCTCATAAAGCGCAATACAAAATATCCACAGTCAATACCATTGCGCTGCCGAGGGCATTGTAAATGGAAAAAACAAACGAACATTTATCAGGATATATAGTTTAAATAGTTTTATCAAGTAGAACCACTATAACAGTCAAACATGCGAAAATATACCTCCACTCTGATCCAGTTGATGTTGTTAGCCTTACTTTTTGGCACCGTTGCATCTCTTTGTGCTCTGAATATTTGTATAACTCTAACATAATATAAACGCATATTTAGAACAATGTCACATAATAAATAAAGATATATAATTAAAGACAACAGTATATCTCATCACTTACGTATCAACAAAGTTCCTCAGATTTTCATATTTTGTTGTATCGCCATCCAATGAATCTATATAATACACTATTTCTTTCGTCGGATTAATTGCGATTAACAACCAATGTCCACTATAAAATAAGACAACAGTTTAGACGGAAATGTTATATAGAAAGGGAAAAATCGAACAATTATAATAAATGAATTTAGAATAAAATCTAACCCATGGCCAGTATTATATGGCAACAAGAACAACTTCTCCGTAGTCGCGCGCATAAATCTCTGCAGTGTGTACTCTTTGACTGTATCCGGTGACTGGTCTATTATACGTGAGTTGACACAACTAGCAGATAAGAATGTGAATACTGAAGTCAATTCATTCGAGACCAATAACTTGTTATACAAGAACCTAAAAAAACATAATCAACATTAGAATATTCAGTTAAACGAGTAAATTTTAAAATGTTCAATTATTTAATTAAAATGGATCGAAGTACCTGATGTATGAATGCATAACACCGACGCCCAATTCAGAATGGTTGAAAACCTGATCAAAATCCTCCTTGGCAATTGTTTCGGGATATTCAAAAC